GTCAGCAAAGTGGAGATGCTTGACGGAGCTCCATACATACCAGAGGCTCAATGCAGACTTTGTACTGCAATTTTTGCCCCTACAAATTGTTTTTAATATATCTTTTTATCTAGAGGACTTATAGCTAAACAATGTAAGACAAAGATACTCTAATCTAGGTATATTTTTAGAAAAAATTAAAACTTTTAGTCGTTACCTACTAAATTAATAAGCTATATAGCCTAAAACTCTAAGTTAGACGTTTTAGGATTTAAGCGTTTTTTTAAGCCTTAGTATACTATTTTTATTAATCTAAAGTCTAGGTCTTATAGCCTTACTTTATAAGACTCTATATTAAGGTTTCTATCTTAATATAGCTACTATTAGTAATATAATCTAGAAAAGAATACTATAAAAACTTAAATTATTCTTAGATTCTATCTTATATATCTTTTTATTTAGAAGAGTTATAGCTTAGTAATATAAAACAAAATTACTTTACTCTCTATATATCTTTAGAAAATAACTAGAATTATTATAGCTATCTACTAAGATTAGCCTAAAATTCTAGAATTAAGATTTTAAGATTTTAGTATGTTTTAAGCCTTAGTATACTATTTTTAGTAATCTAAAATCAAAACCTAACAGTTTTACCTAGTAAAATTTCCTATTAGAGCTTTTACTTTTATTAGTTTATAAATAGTCTTAAAGCCTCTAGAAAGCGAAAAATAGTAGCGAATAATTAGAGACGAAGGGAAGATAGTTAAGAAGGAAGGGAGGATAAATAGAAAGCACTATATACTAGGGCAGAGGAGGTACTAAAGGCGGAAGATAGAAGAACCCCTAAGAGGGCATATAGGATAATAATCTTAGAACTCCTTAGAGGACTAAAAGCAATCTACAACTAGGCAAGCTACGTAATTACAAAGGTAGCTAATATAGTAGTAGCAAAGATTACGAAGAAACAATAGGAGACAAGCCTAAACTACCGTACCTAGGCAGCAGTAGCTAGTTAGGAGGCGCTAAAACCCCCGAGGACAGTAGTTAGAGTCTATATTACGGACCTATAGGAGCAAAAGGAAATCTAAGGGCTTATAGGGAAAGAGATTGTAGAAAGAATTATAGTTAAAGAGGTAATTAGGGCTAGGAACGAAGGTAAAGGGGTAATTAAGCTATTTACAGTATAAGAGTAGGACAAAAAGAAGCTAGAAACACAAAAAGAATAGACAACTAAGATAGGGAAAACAGTAAAGGTCTCCTAACAGCAATTTATAATTATAGCCTATAGTATAACAAGAAACTTTAAGGAAGAACAGGATATTAAGAGCCTATAGAGACAAAACTAAGCTATATGCCTAGGCCTAAAGATTACAAAAGTAGCATAGATCAAAAGGAAAATCGAAGAGACTAAGAAGCAGTCTTCCCTAATTATCTAGGTAGGGAGTATAGAGTAAGCTAATATAGTGCTAGACTAGGGGTTATTCTAGGACTTTAAAAGATTAGAAACAGAGATATATAGAAGCAACTATAGGATAATGCAGTACTTCAAATGTTAACACTATAGACACTTAGCAGCTAAGTGTATAAAGATAACTAATACCTGCTCCTATTATATAGGGGATTACTAGGTTAAAGAATATAAAGCATATAAGGGAGAAGCAAGATATACATACTGCACTAAAAGACACCCCTCTTAGGCGAAGGAATACCTAGTAAGAATATAGGTAGCTAGGAAGGCAAAGGAAGCTAGAATTAATATACTAAAAAGATATATAACAAGCTAGGGCAGCTAGGTATAGAAGTAACCTAGCTAAGTGCTACAAAAGAGGTCTAGATAAGATAATAGGTTCACATTCAGGGCCTTACTAGTATAAGAGAGTCACTAGCAACTAGGGAGACTAAGATACCTTAACATTATAGGAAAAGAAGCAGGGTAGACAAAGCTTAGTTAAATGCTAGTCTAAAGTAAGGGAAGACTAAAGGAAAACTTATAGGGAAATAATATAAATAAAACCTAATAAATATAGCAACATTACTAAACATTATATAGTATAATGTTAATAAGAGCAAAGACAAGGTATAGAGGAGCTTCCTTTAAGCACTAAACCTAAAAGAACATTACATTATTGCAATCTAAGAGCCCTAGCTCAACCTATATATAAAGAGACTAGCAACAGTTAAAGACCTAAGATACTACCTAATTATCTATAACTAGGGAGCCCTAAGGACATACATCTATATTAGCAAGGAGATAGATATAGAAACCTAGTAGGCTATACTATAGGAGGATAGGGACCTAACATTAGTTCAAGTAGAGACATCCTAAGGTATACTCCAAATCTACTATATATACAACCTACTACTAGACTTAAGAAGCAGTACTTAACTAAAAACCCTAGAAAGACTACCTAGAGTTATCTAGGGGAACACCTACTAAATCCTACTTAGGGATTTCAACCTCTACTACCCCCTCTAGGGCTCAGACTTTACCCTAGCTTACTACTTCCTAGTAGGAAGACTAATTGACATATTAGAGAGGAAAGGAATAGAAATTGTTACCCTAAAGGGACTAATTACTTAGGAGGCAAGAGGAAGCAGCAGTACACTAGACCTATACTTTGTATTATATTAGATTAGGAACAGGATTACAAGATACAGGGTTAACTAGGAACTAGAAGAATTATTAGACCACTTCCCGGTATAGATTGAACTGAATGTCTAAGCCAATTAGGAAAGGGAACTAGAGGAGAAGCTTAACTAGAAAGGTGCCTAATAAGGTAGGATTAGGGAGGAACTAGAAAGGGACCCAAAACTAGAGGAACTCTTAACAAAGCACCTACTAAGGCTAGAGGATATTAATAAGGCAGTAGAAGAACTAATAGGAATCCGAATCCTAAAACAGGTAGCTAGAAAGCATACCCTAGCAAAGAAACATTTACTATACTAGCAACTATACTAGACTAGCGAGTATATAAGGAAGGTTAAAGTAGTAAGGAAGGCTAGGAGGTAGTAAATACAAACCTATACCTAGGAAGTATAGAACAACTATAACAAAGCCTACTAGGAAAAGAAGATCTAGATTAAGAAAGACAAGATACAAGAATAGAGATCTATAATAGGAATAATTATAAAGAAACTAGAGGAGATATAGAGGATAGCTAAATAGGTAAGGAGACCTAAACAGGATAAGGATATACTACTACAGTTCCCGGACATTATAGACTAATAAGGACAAATGTAGACTATAATAGAAGGGAAAGCAAGAGCCTTAGGCCAACACTTCTTCTATAGAAAAGTACAAGCAGACCTATTAGACATAAAGGAGAAAGAATAAGAGACTCTACTACTAGGTACACTAAGAGACACCTAGGTTAAACCCGAAACTATTAAAAGGATCCTAAAGAAAATTCTAGGCAATAAGGCACTAGGAGAAGACAAGATCTATAACAAACTTCTAAAAGCATATAGGAAGGGGCTAGCCCTAGCACTAGCTAATATCTTTTTATAAAGCCTAGCTATGAGAAGGGTTATGTTAGTAGGTAGATAGGGTGGTGGTGAATCAGTGTAGTATTCGATAAGGATCTCGAAGGAGAGGGAGGAAGGCAGGAGAGTTGGCCTAACGCTAAGCGCCAAGCCCTGCCTAAGGCATCGAGACCCTGGCTTCACTCGGCCTAGTTATATACCAATCACGTATAGCCTCTTTAGTCCTAATATACGCTTCCCTTCTAAAGGCCGCGCCCTCGTAGCCTGCCTATATTCCAATCTCGACCTCTATTGCCGCTAACTTAGCAAGTCTAATAAGCTGCTTAGCCCGCGCTAAATTGAACACTCAACCACCTAATTATATAACTATGTCAAACCTTACCTCTAAACAATACAATATACAACTCTAACTGCGCTATCTCTATATACAATAAACTATAAAGTAATATATATCTATAAGAATTGAGGGCCTTCGACCAATTATAATACGAGCGCGTCTTCCCTACTATAATAGGTAGACGTACGAGGTATTGTAGCACTGCCTCCGTTCTAAGTAATGTCGTACGAGTTCTTTGCGTCTACTCTAATAGACCTAGAAATGTCCGCTCCGAGGGTTTGTTCTTGTTGTTACGAGGGCTATTATTTACTATCGTAGTTTCACTAGCCTAAATTAGTCAGGTTTGGCAGCCTTCAAGTGTTAACTAATTATATCTTTTTAAAAAACTCAGTTCTTCTAGTTTCTATAGGTAAAGGCTATTGTAAGTGCAGTAGTAGAGGTTCGCCTCGCTTAAAGGGTCGGAAAGATCGAGGAGTAACCTATTGTCCGCAAGATCGACCCCGGCTAGCTTAGCTCTATAGTTTTGCCCTTAGTTAGTCTATTAGTCGCTCAATCTTTTAACTTAGTCAAAGTTTTGACTTAGCCTTAAAGTTTTGATTAAACCTTTAATAGGCTCAAGGCTTTAATCAAAGTTTTGATTAAGGGTGCCTTAGGCTCGTAGTGTAGGTAAGGTTGTGTCTATAGGCGTAGCGACAATAGCAAGTAATGTTGACAATAGCAGCGCTAGTCGTCTTAGCGCTAACTTTACCTTACTCTCGATTTCCTTCTTCGACTAATAATACACTCCGCAATACCGTTACTAATATAGCCGCGCCGGCCGCCGGCGCACTACTAGCTCGTAGT